CCTAAGCAGTTTCTATCGTAAACCTTAACTTTACTGCTCCCCAAACACAACTGTCTTAAAAAGAAAGGAAGTCATGATACAGGTTGTAACCAATTACTACAAAAGGTGCTATAACAACCATTATCAGAAGCCCTTTGTGCTATACTTGAGTATGAACAGAACGTTAATATCAAGATGATTATCCAAACATCAAGGAAACAAATGACCTTGTCATCTTCTACCCATCTTTTGTATGCTTCTATGACTTAGCTTCCAGTTTCCTCAAGAGCCCTGACTTTAAAACAAACACATTAAACATTTAAAGTACATAGTAAAAAGGGAAGTGCTTCCTTTATTCACAATTGATTCAACTGAAAATCAGTGTAACTTTTCTTGAGGAGAGTAGAACAAAGTACATGAAAGTTAAAATACACATACCCTTTGATCCAACAATTCCATGTCTAGGAATTTATTTCAGTGAAATAATCAAATGAATATATAAAGCTGGATGTACAAGTATGTTCACCCCAGCATATGTAATATCAAAATATTAGATACAATCTTTTAAAACTCCATTTTTTAAGAACAAAATAAGGGAATATGCATAAAATGGAAAATCACTGAACCATTAGAAAATCATGCTATTGCTCTAATATCACAATATGTTGTTACATAAAGGGGATAGGTTGAAGGTAGTGCACATGTAGTACATATAAAAGTATGAAAGGATAGACACCAAAAGTAAAAATATTAATTGTGGATAGTGGGATCCTGAATGGGCTTTTTGACTTTTTGAAAATTTACTCCATTTTATTTTTCCCAAGGAATACATATTATTTTTACAGTTAAAGGCAATAAAAACAATCTTCTAATTCTTACTATAATTCCTAGCTAATTATAAATATTCACAGGACAGGCATTTTGTGTGGGATAATAACACTGCTTAATGTGAAAGACGACCAGTGAACTCAGCTTGCATGCCACTGGCAGCCTATGAAGCTGCTTTACTTATCCCTTAATTAATCTCTTTTCCCTTGATCTTCTGTACTTCAGTAATTGTTTTACACACTCTTCCTTAGTGAATAAATACAAGTCAAGACTCACAGGCCAAACATCTTCATGTACACCTGCAGAGTTACCTTTCCACACATGGCTTAACTATTCTTAATTATTCTATAGAACACAGAAAGTCTGTATTCCACAAATACAATCAGCAAGAGTATAGAGATTTCCAAAATAATATTTGTGTAACATAACAGTAAAAACCATGGCTGCGTATACTATTTTATTTGCATTCCAGAACAATAAGATCCTTTTTTCCCCATTCTAACATAAAAACTCAAGCTTAGAGAGACTTTGCCTAAAGATATAAATGACTTAAGACTTACAAATTTTCTCCACTCCCAATCTAATCTTTTCTCATGTTGCCTTTGGATTATTAAATATGTTAAAAATAACAATAACCAACTTAAGTAAGACTAGAAAGTATGAAGGTACTTTGAAAAGTTCATGAAAAAATAAAAGATAATATGAATCTTTCCATGAACTTTTTGAAGTACCCTCATACTGATGATGAAAGCAAGGAATAATGTTCTTAAATCATTGCAACAGAATACTTCAAATTTTCCTTCAGGATATCAGCTTTTCTTTTAATTTTTATTGCATATATCTGTTGATGTTATTTTCTCCACAGAATCTTATTACCCTTCCCTGGAGTCCAGCCACAGCAGTAGGTAGTTTCTTTTTTTTTTTTTTTTTTAAAAAAAGATGACCGGTAAGGGGATCTCAACCCTTGGCTTGGTGTTGTCAGCACCACGCTTTCCCAAGTGAGCCACAGGCCGGCCTGAGTAGGTAGTTTCAAGAGATAAACTCTTTCTCATACTTCTGTCTGGTTTATAACTTAACTGAAATAGCTAATATTTACTGAGCACTCACTGAGATTACTATGTCCCAGGTACTGGGTAACACTTTCTATACCACAGGAGGTTGAAGACCTCTCCCAAATTGTTCTTTTGTAGTATTTTAGGATCCAAAACTTTGTTGTACACCTCTTGACATTTATACAGCATTTCAGTCATTTCTTCTATGTCAGGGACCTCCAGCTGAAGTTCTGAAGGGTCCCAGAAGTTTGCTCTGGTATTTTTCATCTGGGTATTAAACACATGGTAATGGAACTAAGCTACAATACAATACTTCGAGATTCTTCAATCACTAGATACTA